AAACTTAAGTTTTACTTGTAGAGGAAGCCCGTTTATGCAAAACCACTGAGTAGCTGACCTACAACCAGGTGTCATCTTTATTACAGAGACCTGGTTACAAGAGAACGTAATGGATGCGGAAATTTTACCTGGTGACTATCAAACATTCCGTCGGGACCGCCTTCATAAAAGAGGGGGAGAAATAATAGTCCTTGTCAAGAGGGGCATCATTGTGTCGAAACGAAGATCAGTTGCTCGCGTGACTGCGAAGCACTGTGGCTTAAACTGAAGGCGCATGGTGCATCCATCACACATTTAATGACTATTTATAAACCTCCAAATCAATTTTAAGAGGTTGACGAGGCCATATTTGATTTAATGAGAGAACTGGTCAAAAGCGTAAGCGCATTGATAGCTGGAGATTTTAACGCACCGCTGATTGACTGAGACGAGCTATCAGCAAAAGCTTCACGTGATTCCTTTAGCTTCAGCCTACGAAAGCTAACGGTGAACCTGTTTCAGTCACTTTATTAAGAGAAGAAGGTTTTTGACCTGTAGCTTCCTATGCATATTCAAAAATTGCAAAAGATTTCAATCATAACAATAGTATATAATATAAATGTAAGCTTAACATCAGCGATAGTTGTGAGCCTGTCGCACACTGCTGCTACTTACACTATCTTCCTTATATCTGTCACCGTTTCTCAGCAAATGTAAATCAAGTTTGTGTTTAAAAGTGTCAACAATATTTGAGAGGACCACCTCGTGAGGGAGTCCGTTTCACGCTCCGATGACCCTCTGAGAGAAGGCGTTCCGTCGAACGTCCGTATGGGCTATTCAAAATGTTGCATTTCAAACAACAATCAAAAGGTCACAAGCAGCGAACGGCCTAGAGCTCGTGCTTTCGAGAGAGCCAACTGACAAAAATGAAATGAGGTCAATCGCATCGCTTGGCAAGAGCGACCATGTCATGCTTCTGTGGTAATACGGTTTAAACAGGAAGCAAACAAAGAAGACGGAGATGCGGCTAAATTACTGGCACGGAAATTTCCCCGCGATGAGAAGTGGGCTGCCCATAATAAATTGGCATGAAATTCTAACACTAGTCCGAATGCCGATTCGAACATTCTCAGTGATATGATAAACGACGTTAGGCATAGCAACTGTCCATTGAAAAAGGACAAAAGGCGAACCGGCTCATTTAGTTAACGCGAGACTTGAAAAGGTAGATAAACCGAAAGAACAATCTCTGTAGGAGGTATTGTTAGGAAACCGAAAGTGCCACCAGTACCGTGGCCGGAAACCAGGAAACCCTGCAGCAGAATTCATATGGATTACGCGGATCCCCTTTTCAACAAGATGTTTCTAATCATCGTGGACGCATGGTCGAAATAGTTCCTGTTATCACGGCTGAACATACGATGAGAAAAACTGAGGAGTTAATCGCGAGACACGGAATCCCAACTGAGATCGTTACCGATAATGGGACCCAATTCACCGCAGCAACATTCCAACAGATATGCCAAAAGTGGGGGATTAAACACGTTACGTCGCCACCCTTCCATCCTCAATCAAACGGCCGGGCCGAAAGGTTTGTCGGTACATTTAAAAGGGCGCTGAGCAAGATATGGAACTCTGACGTCAAGATGGAACAACTGAACACGTTCCTGTTCGCCTACCGATAGACACCGAAGACCGAGCTAGGCGGATCAACTCCAGCAGAAATATCTCTGGGCAGGCAATCTGATGTGCGTCTCCAGTACCTGAAACTTGTGTCCTAAGATGTCCTAAAAACCTTTTTCCTGGAGGTCGGAGATGTATAATTACGAAACTATGCTGCGGGAGATCTCCGGATGGAGGGCAGAATCAAAAAAACAAACTATGTAGTTTTTGAAATCGAGACTAATAGAGGACCGGTAAGAAGATACGCGAGCCTGCTAAGGCAGCGAACGAGATCAGACAATTATTTGGCGCTGGACTTACTTTATGACACTTTCAGCATTCAGGTTGAGGTCCCAGAGGGGAACCAGGCCCTCGGGAGGTCGACTAGGACTAGACGCCCCGTCCCCCCTAACAGGCTGGTGCTGAATCCAAACCACCGAACGTTAGAGGTAAACCTTTTAATAGCGGGAGGTTTTAGGATAGCCGAGCACGTGAGCCACCACCCTTGTCATCTAGACAGACGGACAGATATCCTGAGGTCACACCGGACAAAGGCGCGTGAACAGAGATAAGCGCACAGCCATAAAGACCTATGACCATGGGTAAGAACGCCGCCGAATTATGTCTGTACTTGAGAGGTTAACCAGCATCCGATGGCTACCCAGAGAGACCAATAAGAACGGACAAAGCGGTAACGGACTGATTGCCTTTAAATGCGAAGGCGGACACGGGAGGTGGGACATGCCGTGACGCCGTGACGCAACCACAGACGACTTGCTGACGGACACGGGACAAGTCGACTGACACGCGCAAAGTTGATGGTAACGCAGGAATTGTTATAGTAAACTGTTCTCTGATATCCTTTCTGTCTTCTAACCCACACGTACAACTGGGGGACACAACAGGTATACGGCAACAGGTCAACCATAACACTACGAAGAGTTCCGCTGAAAGTGGAACGAGATAAGTTCAAGTGTCCGCAAATCACGGAAGCAGTATGAGGAAAAAGTTATAGAACGGGCCGTATATAAGCCAAACGCACTCCTTAGCCTCATCAATAATAGATTAAAAAAGTAAAGAAACGGTTACACTCTTGAAAGGGGAGAACAACGAAGAAATTACTGGAAATCGCGAAAAGGCAGAACACATTAGTCATTTTTTGAATCTATATTCACTAAGGAATCAGATTTTAGTCAGGCGGACTTCCATGTAGGGCGTAGCGACACAATTATGGATGACCTCGATTTCACTAAAGAGGATGTGAAAAAAACGCTTTGCGCTTAACGACGTTAAGTCTCCTGGTCTTGACCAAATCTTGGCAAAAGTATTGCAAGAGCTCGCATCGGAACTCTCAAGACCGCTTTCGC